AACCCCCATCCACCCTGGCCTTGAACGCTTCCAGGGATGGGGCATCCACAGCTTCTCTGGGCAACTGCTCTGGCCAGTGCCTCAACACTCTCACAGTGAAGAATTTCTTCCTAATCTGTCATCTAAATCTTCCCTCTTCAAGTTTAAAGCCGTTGCCCCTTGTCCTATCACTCCCTGCCCTTGTCAAAAGTCCCTCCCCAGCTTTCTTGTCAGCCCCTGTAGGTACTGGGAGGCTGCTTTAAGGTCTGCCCGGAGCCTTCCCTTCTCCAGGCTGAACAACCCCAACTCTCTCAGCCTGTCCTCACAGCAGAGGTGCTCCAGCCCTTGGATCATCTTCGTGGCCTCCTCTGGACTCGCTCCAACAGGTCCCTGTCCTTCTTGTGCTGAGGACCCCAGAGCTGAAGGCAGGACTGCAGGGGGGTCTCACCAGAGCGGAGCAGAGGGGCAGAATCATATTTCAAGTCTTTGAAATGCATTTATAGTTTTTTATGACAGCAGCTATATAAGTTCTTGTTCTTTCAGGGGAGGAGAAACCCATGAAAAACTAGAGTTCTAACTCTTTAAGAAAATATCTGCCCCTTAGTGTTTCATAATTACATGAAAAAACTCCAGTGGCCTTTCGTTTCTTTTTGCTTTATCAGTCTTAAAGGAGATTATGGATTCAGCCCTTTAGCAAAGTAGAAATGGTAGATCTCCTTTTCCTTGCAGCTGTTAATATTCTGGGCTAGTTTATAGCTTGAAGAAAATCCAGCACCTTAAAATAAATTACTGAACAGCTAAAGTCATATTTTTGCCATTCTCTAACTCAGAGCTGTAGATTTACTTTTGACTTCAAAATTTTAAAATAATGCGTCATGACAAGACTTTTGTGCAATGAAGATCGTGTATTACTTTTTACTTAATTTTTATGGCTATGTTACAATTTCCCGTAAACAGGCTCATAACATAAAATTCTACTTCTCTTCCTTTCTAGATGGAACCTGCTCTGTGTATTTTAAGGTTAATGTGGTGAAGGCAGGTTTTCTATATTTCTGCAGTCTGTTGTCAAAAATGCCTTCATTTTGAATCGAGTTGCAGTGCGTTCATGAATTGCAAACCAGTGCAAGAAACATGTGATCATTTGAGCTGAAGTGGCAGTTTTCACACCGTTGGAGTTGCTACAGCATCTAATTTTAGAGCTACAATGAAACTGTCTGGATTACCCGGAGGGGATAATATCTCAGTGCATTAATGAGGTTACACACAAAGAGAGTTTATTACGATAAGAGATAGATGTTCATTAGATCAGTAATGTGATTACAGAATGTGCTGTAAAGGAAACACCATTGGGAACTATAGGGAAGATGATTCTGCAAACATTAAACAAAATGTAAAAGCAAAACATCATTATTAAATCTGCCAACTTTACTACGCTATTCTTATTAGTAAATATGCAGAGTTTTAAAAGAAAAAAAATATATTTTGGCTTAGGGCAAAATTGTCATCCTCCTACTTATGGAAAATATTTTTTAAACCAATATATTTTCAGTTCATTTTAATCTAGTCTAATTGCTGAGAAACTAAATCCCCATTCTGAAGTTCTGTGGTTGTGACAATATATTCTTATTTCATCTGGTGTGGGGTTTTTTTGGTGGTTTTTTTGTTTGTTTGGTTGGTTTGGTTTGGGTTTTTTTGTGGCTTTGTGTTTTTGTTTTTTTTTTTTAGCGTAGCTCTGTAGAAGGGAATTCTTCAAATACAATTTGCAGATAACATTTCAAATACAGTAACAGCAAAATATTATACAATACAGGAAATAAACATATGTCTTTCCACTCTGACCACAGAACTGTCTGTATTCCTAAGAAATGTCAAATAAAATTCTGCAGTCTACAAGGTTGTCGTTCTTCTGCAGTCATTTTCAGTATTGATTGGCAAATACCTTCATGCGCTCTAAAACTGAAGTCAGGGCACAGCTTTAGAGCCAGTGCAACCTAGAGACAGAAAGGACCCAGAAGAGATCATCTCATTCATTCACGTGCACTGAAGCTTCATATTTGTCCTCTTCATGTTTGTACGTTTAACTGGTCTTTCGACAGTAATAGGCCAAGCACAGCAATCAACTGCAAATTTTACTAGTAATACTATAATGAAGCAGCCTACCACCAGAAGACAAGAAAAGTTCTCTCCCAGCAGTCTGGTAGGCTGCAGAAAAGACTGGAAGATCTACATCTAGGATCCAAATCTAGGCTCTACAGAGAAACGAAACTCCTTTTTATAGGTACTGGCAAGGTTTCTGGAAGTTTCTAAAAACCCACACTGAAGTGATTTCATAAGTAAGTAAACATTAAATTTTTTTTTTTTGAGTATAACATTAAAAAGTAGATGGTATTTCATACCTTCTATAATTTCTGTAAGCTTCAGTATAATAATCAAATTACATTTATCTTCAAGCAGAGAAACATTACACAAAAAAGTTAAGTGTAATTAAATTTTACACACAAAGCTGCCAAGCAGAAAACTAAAAGCACAACTTATTTTCCTCTTATTGATCAATAAAGGGCAGACTGATTATGGAATTAAATATTGAATTATCCATATTTGCAGTGTTTTCTGCATGACAGAATTTGTAATTATTTCTTCTTTCGCGCTCTTAAAAACTCTTAAGTTTCATTTACATGCAATCTATGTTTCCTACACCCTAAGTGATGGAGTAAATCACAATTACAGAAGGGAAAAATTGATTCTAAGCTTTTGACATTTTCAAGCTTAACTCACATTGATTTTTGAGGGATTATTAAGAGAGAGAAAGATTTAGAACTTGAGGAAAATAAATAAATAGACAAGTCAATGGGGCATGGAACAATCATCCGCTTGAGGGATATACCTATCAATGAGGGAAAGCAATTATTCAAAGTGGCATAAGGAGCTATAAATATGGTAAGATAGGTAGAAATAGCAAACCAGAGAAAACAATTTTAACTTGGTATCTTAAGGTGATGGTTAGTTCAGAATTTAAGACCTCCGTTATCTCCAGAAAATAAAGTTCTCAAACAACCGAATGCCTTAAAACAGTAATAAAGGGTTATGTAGCCACACAGCTCGATGAATAGAGAGAACTGTTGGCAGCTGCACAGAACTTAAGCTTAGGTAGGCCTGAGTTGTTTTGAGGGGTAAAGAACATATACATCTTGAGGGACCCACTAGACTACGCAAAGAATCTAGCCCATTTAAAGAGATTAGAACATAAAACATTTTAAACAAGTAGATCATAAGTGTTAAAATTATTATTCCATTGTTCAAACTCTTCCACCCTTAACAGGAAATGTTTAATACAGCAATGGGTAAAGGATATAAAATTTAACAAACCTAGCTGAAAAAACTTCCATATATCCAATCAAGCACATCTATGTAAAGAACACCACACACACACTCTACAAGAGAAAACCCCACTTTTACAAAATCTTTAACAAAATTCAAAACCAAAATCAAACAAAAAAAAGAAGCAGCACCAATGGTCTTTACTCTTTACCCATATGCTAAAATCAGCAGATTTTAAATAAGCCTTTTAACCATACCAGAAACTGTAGAAACACAGAACAAAGCAAAATCTAGTGGTAATTTGCAGCCATGCTTCCGAAATACACAGGCAAGTCAGAATCTAATCAGTACATGCTAACTATACAATTATCCTACCCTTTAATTAAAAACTTGTAAAAGACTTCCAGGTGGTATAGGCTGAGTAAAGCTTGGCCTCTAATCTTCTGTTCTTTAGAGACTTAATGGAATTTAAATTTATGACTAGTTTCACTTTAAAGGAACATTTGCATCTCTTCATGTCTTATTATTTATCATATATAGTGATTAAAAAAAAAGAAAATAAAATAATTTATAAAGATTAAATATTATCTAGTTGAAATTCAATCAATTTTTTTAGGTCATTCAGTGAACACTTTCAAAAAGCCTTTGTCATTAGCTGGTTAAAATAAATTGATCAAAGGAGGACTTAGCAACAAGTATAATGCCAAAAATTAATAAAAAAGGAATCACACTCTTCCCCAAAACAGAGGATGACAGATAGTGCCAAAGATAATAAAAGGGCCACAGGTATTCATATCACAATACATCTGAAAACCTGTATTTAAATGAAAAACAAAAAAAAATTTGGGTCTGGAAGAGAACACCATGAATCTGCAATGCCTCTAAGTGAAATAACCTGGGAAGGACAGTGTGCTCTGGCACAGGGAAATTCTCACACACCATTTTAATGGCTTTATGTTGAACAAAAGGCTGAGGGCAGCCTCTAAAAACCCTGGCTGGCTCAAGAAGCATTCCTCTACTACACACTATTACACACAGAGCCAGTACATATCTTCTCTGGCACTGCGCGATGGAGGTTGAGCTGATGGGATGCATCAGGGCCACAATACAGTGCTCTGTGAACATTTCAATGCAGTTCTGTGACATCTAGCAAACCCTGGAAAAGACCGACTTCAAACTGCAAAGATGTTCACAGATCATGACGGACCATTTGCACTTGTAAATCCCTCAGGACCATGATAAAATAAAACCAAACCCTTGAGGAAAGCTCAGAAGGCTCAAAACCAAGAAGATAATATTAAAAGACATCACTCACTGCAAACTAATTTTAAGTTTACTGGCTTTTCTAATAGTAGTAGTACTTGTTTAAAATTTTGAATACCATCCTTTCCCCATGCAGTGATTATTAGTCCATTCTAAAGGGCTAAAATCTGGCTATACGTATGTATCCAAATGGAGAATATCTGTAGCCTACCCCCTCGTCCCATTCTATGCTTGAGACAGACCGACTCTGACATCATTGGTAACCTGCAAGTCACTGTGATCTATAATTTCTTAAAAATTGTTAGACTCCTTCCTTCATACTAAATGTCAGCTTATAAACAATGAAAAGCTAGCAAACACAGCTCTAAGATGTTGAATTCAGTTGAATAATTCCAATGTCAGCAACATTCCAAAAACCTTACAAACAAGCAAATTCTCACCAGTTGAATAAGCAGGCTAATTAGGTCCGTCAGGGGTTTATTGATAAGCAGAAGGTCTTCAGCTGCCTGCATGTCCCCTCCTGTGCCAGATTTCTGTGCCTTAATAAGATGAGAAAAAATAAAAAGCAACCTTGGTGACTGTTCTGTTATGAGAAACAAATTAGGTCTATTAGGTTGTCGAAGTTTGAACAGAAGTTTGAAGAAGACTTACACCCTCTTGTCTAATTAAGTATTCCTTGGCTCTCAATGGGCAGTTATGCTCTCTGTATCTGTAACAATAAGCATGAAGCAAAAAGGACTCATGCTGTCGTGCCCATTCTGCACAGGCTGAATATACTGACCTACATGACATTTATTCAGCAAAATGCTATAAACTGTATAGGCAGAAGATAAAGCCATAAATGTTTTATGTATTTGTTTCTCTTTCAACATGATATGCCTATTTTAACATTAAAGTTCAACTATTTTTCTTTTCCTTTACCAGGAACAATTTTAAGTGCAACTCAAACCAAGAAAATCAAGGTGACTGAAAAGTTAGGATTCTCAAAAACAGTGTCCAGTTTCGCCCTTCTGACTCACTTTATATCCCAAAATATTCATAACATATTATAATAATGTAAATTATTTTTGAAATAGGGATAATAAAATCTTCAAGTGACCAAAGCCTGTGATAAGATCTGTTACTACTTGTAATTCTGACCATTGTCATCCTTCCTCATCAAAACACACTGCCATCCTAGGCAGTGCTACATATGACCCATCCCTGCCCCAAGACACAGAACACTCTACTTGCAAGATTCTTCATTTCACTTCATTATCTTGCATCAGCTTTGGACCATGACCCTATACAGTCAAGCTGCTAGAAGAAAATGTAAACACTTTGTCTAAAGAACACATTTAAAAATAATTTTGTATTTGTTCTGTTTAAAGCTCAATCCTAAAACCATAATCCAAGTGTAATATCTGAGGATTTTTGTTTGGTTAAGTGAAGACAGGAGCAAGTCCCCTGAGACAGGAGATGCTACTGCTGAAGCTCCACTGCTGATACTGATGAGTTGAAAGAATAATGCCTTTCTTCTGGAAAGAATTTTGAAATAAAAGAGATCTGAAGAGCTGTTTCTCCAGGTAATAAGAAATGTTGGTCTGTCCCTCACTGAGACTCACCACAATGACCCGGATTGCTCAAGTCCAAGATGGGCAGAAAGACATAGCGCAGAGAAGACAAAAAAATGAAGTGTTTATATTAATCAAGAAAGGGAAGTAAGCCACCTTTGCTTCAGCAAAATTTAAACCAGCTTTTTCTGGTTAGTGCTTGGATGAGAAGACAGACATCCTCCATCAGGGATGTTTGGCTACTTTCTTTAATTTCTATATATTTAGTGTCTTTGGAAAGAGAATGAACGATATCAATAAAGGAAATATACTTTATACATGTATATAAAGGACACACACTACACCACACTTAAACCTACAGTAAGTGACTAAACAGTTCACTTCTCAAATGGAGATTGCAAATTACTTTCAGCTACTGTGGATCATCTGGGGAACATGATATGATGAAACTGCTCCAAAACGATACGGAAATTAATCTGAACCTTTGTACCATTTCCATTAAAACACAAGCACTTGGACCACAGAGAGCAAACTCTTGAATGAAGCTGGATACAGTTATCAGCACCATTCAGCATAAAGTACTGAAATGCAAAGGAAAAGTGGTGTCATGTTTTGCCTATGCAGCTGGATAAGGTTATCACTTTACATATAGAAAGCTTAAATAAAAAGGATTCAAGTGGAGGTAGTACTATCTGTAAAAGTCAACTTAATTCTCAAAAATGGATAACATGAGAAAATTTTACTCTCTTTTTCAAGTTTTGTTTTAGAAGGCATCTTATACAGAAGATCCCTATAAAAACAGTCCAAGAATATTTGTTATCACTAGTGATGCATTTAGCGACATGTGAATAGCAGAATATTATGTAGATGCGCAGCAAATAGCAGTCACAACTAATGGCTATCATTCAACAGGGCCTGTGTACTGAGGCAGCTGCAGAAGCCACAGGGGCCTAGTGACGAGTACTGTCAAAACAAGTATGCCAAGACAAGTATCACCACCATAAAATCAGTTTTACGGGGGGACAGGACAGAGCTATGCTTCAAAACTCAGTTTCCAAGCTGCCTCCTGTTACCCGTTAGCCTTCCAGAGCAAAGCAGATTACTTTGACTAGAGTTGGAAAAAAACGGAGCTGGAGTTTTAGTGCATCAATCAACTGATGTATTCATGTAAAGCCAGAACAGAATTTGGCTTTGAATGTATAGATTTAATTTTGCATCTAAATAAAAATCATCAGTTTCACTAATATTACCAATCCATGTGCAAGATCCTCTTTCCTTATATCTGGCCTCACCACTGTTGCACGGAGTGTAAGCACATAATTTAGCTCTCTATGATTACATGGAATGATGCCAGCAATATGACAATCAGAAATTACCCTACAAAATTTGATTTACAAAGTGATTCTAAGACGAGAAACCCATTACAGAACCTGCTAAGAGGACTCAAAAAAGACAAGGTATTGTACCACCAGTTCTAAACTAAGTTTTTTCCAAAAATTGAAAAACCTCCCACTTCTCAGTGAAATACCTGGTTGACAACATAACTGATTATGTAAATCTGTGTAGAGAAGAAAGGAAAAAAGGGCTCAATTTTCAACACCTACTTCATACATTAAACTTTCTTAAAAAACCCAACCAAACAAACAAAAAAACCCAACCAACCCACCCACAGAGGAGGACCTTTTCAGACTAAAGAAGCCCTGTCCTGAAAGACAATACAACCTGGCTGCAAACTTTTGAATTTCTGTTCTCCAGATATATTGGACCTAATAGACTTCTCTGTTCTTCAGTGGATAATCCCAAGAACGTCAAAAACCTAACATGAAGGGTACGTGGTGCTGTTTGCAGCCTAAACACAGAAGTTACTTCCACTCGACTAACTTAGAAATTCATGTCTAAAAAAAGATTAATGCTATTCCTTGTTTTGTTTTTAAGAGAATTGTGTACAATTTCTTTGAACAGTATCTTTTGTGCTTCATTGTTAAGGAGGAGGATATCCTACTAATGCCATGGTTTGCAGTGGTTCAATCAGAAACTTGGAAGACAAATTGAGCAGCATAAGAGGGGAAATGCTTTTGTCAGTGCACGTGCAAAAGTTACATATGCTTTTCAAGTACAGTAATCACATATGATGTGTAATAAAAAGATGTTGGTTTTTTATGGAGTAATCTTTGTCTTTTAAAATGAACGGAAGAAAAATGTTGTGAACCATCAGCAAGCAAATGTTGAATTAAGCTACTTAATGGAGTACAGAAACAAAACAGTCACCTAGGATCTGTGTTTCCAGCACACAGTGAGGCTAGTATAGCTAGTCTAGCCAGGTGACCACAAGAAACAGTGACATGAAGTTGAAAAATACATACTTTTCTCTTTCCACCACACTAAAACTTCAATAAAATCAGAATAGTGGGAATTTCATTATTAGGATACCAGGAAGTTATCTGAAAAACCGTTTAAGATAGTGATGACCCCAGGAAATAAATTCCATACCTGCAAAGTCTGGCGCACAATGTTTGCTGTATACATCAACATGCAGTGCAAGATGTCAAGCAAGGACAGCAGCAGTGCATTTGCTGTCTTGGTGCTGCTTTTATCATCTGCTTCCAAGTACAGAGCCACAGTTTCTATTAGGAGATTACGGATATGATGAGACAGTCCTACACAGAAAGTGAGACAAAAAAAAGAAACAGACTATCAGGAAAGGAACAATGTGGAAGGTAGCTTAGTTAAAAATAATAGATTAGGATAAAACCAAGTTTCACATACATTGTAAATATTTATTAAATTTCCTCTTTTTCTCCATTATTATAATTACCTCCTCCCCTATTCTGTTTGGAGCAGCTCATAAGAGAATTAAACTGATAAAATCAAATTTGCTAACCTCATGGAAAATTATGTAACATTCATTAAATAGAGACATACTTTGAATCCTAAACCTTTCTATAGCATGCTGGTACACAAGTCTCCTTCACAACACTCCTGGTCACAAGAATTAAGCAATTTCTCCAGGCTGTTACAAAATGACACATCAAGGTCAGAGCCTAAAGTTTTCTTTCTTAACTAGTCTGCCGGTTACAACCTTCCCCATATGCTTTAATTGTAGAATTGAACAATATTATGCTTAACATAAAATATATTTAGAAGAGCATTGTAAATGAAATACTGAATACTACACCTAAAATGTTATTAAGATTTGTTTGACTGATGGTAGTAAAAAGTTCTGAAAATACCTTCTTGTTTTGAAGGGTTTTTTTAAGCTCCTTGGGAATTTAATAACATCAGCTCCCATAGCTTGCTTAACCCACAAATCAATTGACGTATCAGAAAAAAATATAATCCATTTCAAGGCAACACTGATTCAATTCAGAATCTTTCCTACTTTCAAATACAAAGTGACTGAGTTCATTATATTTGATCTTAATCTTTTTCTTTCAGAGTTTCATAAGGAATGAAAGATATTTTGTTCCTCACCAAGAACATAATTACATTTGTAAACTATCTTCCTTTAATCTAGCAATTAGCCATACTGTGACCTGGGTGCACATACATAGTAACATTGTAGTATATTAGTATATTAGATTCTAGTCCCCATGACTGCCAAAAATGACTGAAATATCTCACTGATTTCACCTAAGTAAAAAGACTGCTTTTATAAGTTCTCCTTTAAAAATTGTATATATTTTTACAAACATCAGTACAAGATTAAAATGAGACACTGTAGAATACAATACATAATTACACCATTCAGCTTTTGAGAGTAGTCAAATCTGTGGGGTGTTGAACTATTTTGGCTTTGAAAGATGCCTCATCAATTAACTGAACTTCCACGAAATATTTTCCTCCCCTTTAATACTTCCTCCATCACCTTTAATATTTTCCTCGGGAAATTAAATACAAAACCATTCATTTAGCATACAGTTAAGGGTCAGGATCATTAAGACTTGCACTCTTCTCATATCTCACATCTTTTGTGTTTTTATGATTAGTAGCATTATTCTTTCACAACAGTTTGATTGATGGACTACAGCTCAGGCTAAGCTTTGAATTTCCTGGAGTTTTGTCTGCAAAAATCAAACTCAAAATTACATCAGTCTAATCTCACACATTTAATTTCCTTCTCCTTTTTTAAAGTACAATTTCTGCTGCAGTTCTGAACACTTCATACAAAACTAAGATAGCGTGCATAGACACATTTAAGTGATGTCACCAATACCCACTAAGAAGAAAAAAACCAGACATAATTGTATGTCTACCCGATACAAAACTCATGGTTATTCTATGCCTTTTTTCACCAGGCTAAATTAGAATAAACCTAAGAAAACAGTTCAGTAAGAGTTGGTCCCTATCAAAGTGATGTCTGCAAAACTGCCTGCAGGGATATCTCCAAGTACACTCTGTTTCTCCCTGTATACGACCACAAAACCCACAGCCACATCAAAATGAATGAGTCACCCTATTATTTCTAGATGGTTTACATGTAGCTCTTAAGGCAGTGACTTGGAGATTAATGTCGAGAAGGTGGCTTTCAGATGAAGGCATTATATGGGTCATCATCAAGAATTTTTTAGGCAGCAATCCTCTCTGCATTATAGCACTCAGTGGAAATGACTAGTAGTGAACGAAACAACAGGATCCATGACTGATCTGCAATCCTTTCCCTTTCAACTTTGAAGAGGACGACTTGTTTATTCCCTTGGTTGTACCAGCCTGACTCTCACAACTGCCTCATTTCTGCTGTTTGATGAACAGGGAGGTGAACCGAATGCTCAACCTTCTCCTTACCCATTGAAACATGAATATAATTGCCTAGATTTTATTCCCTTGAAGTATTTAAATCCTAAGGGTACGTGTATTAGCAATCCTGCATCCAAACACCTGAAATACACCACAAAATTCACATTTACTTTGTTAACTAAAACATCAGAATTAGTGGATTTTATATAGGTGGATACATGCTCACACAGAGTTATACATACAAAGATATGCATGTTAAATTTGGAAATTTGGGGGGAAAAAAACCCACCAACACACTTTTCCTGGCCTTCAAAGACCTTTGGAAAATTTAACACATCAAAACTTTATAACAAAGACATCTAAAACAAAACGCTGGTGCAAAATGTTCCCTAACATGCTGCATGATTCATACAGAAACCTGATAAACGCTTGGTTCCACAGATAAAAAAACCAGACTGACCTCTTGTCCAAGTAAATAAAGTTCCAGACATGCTCTTTAAAATGTTGTGTCACAACAAAATGAAAATTGGAGGCCACAATTGTAGACATGTAAATATACTCCTTGCTTAGACCACAAGACAAAATACACATTCCTTGTCCTCAGAAGAGAAAGCTGGGAAACTGGTATAATTTACAGTGACCACGACAAAATTCAGAAGTTTAAAGGCCTTGGCCACTGACACTGTAACCAGTTTACTCAAAAGGTAGCTATAAAGATCAAGACCGACACATCCTAGCATTCCAAAAAAACTGAATCCCAAACCAGATAGTTTGAAAAAAGAGGATGCAGTTCTAGAAAAAAGGAAACTTTATTCATAATTCAGTAAATCATCATATAAAAATTGCATATGCATCTCTAGGTTTCAGAGGATACATTGAAGGTCTTCTCCCAAACTTTACAAATGATTCAAGAACCACATTCGCCTTAGTTTACAATAAAGCCTATATTAAAAAGTTTCAGACAATGTATTTCTGAGTAATATTTAACAGACATAAGTTTCTTACGCAGTAATTCTCAACCCTTCATTAGAAAGTAAAAGAAGCTCTGATTCCAGAGGCACACCCCATGCACTTCTCAACTTCAGAAGTGGTGGATGTGAATCTGAGTTCTGTATCATAGAGGAGAGCTAAACACAATTAAATCAAGGAAGATCGTTTTACTGAGAAAGGCTACCTATTTTTAAGTAATCTGGTAGTTCCAAGTATGTTGGCAATAGTCCATTTTCTCAAGAGAAAAGTGTTAGTGACAGTTTACGTGGGTTAAAGTAACGCACTATAATTTCTTTCAGCTAGGCATTTCTTATTAAGAGAATTAAGTAAAAACTTATGGTTTAACTTATTATAGATTTTTTTTTTTTGTTACTCAATTTGCAAATTTCAGCAAACAATTAAAATATATCACTTCATATCACTTATAGCTATAGTTATAGTTTAAATTTATTACAATACTTCATAGTACGCTAGTCGTGCCTTATATTTATTTGTAAAAGGAGGGTCTTCAAAATATCAAGCCTCAATGTAGTTCTCTGCTATTCAAATTTTGCAGAAAAGTAAAGCAAAACTTGGGTTTTGTGTTAAAAATATTGAGTTTATAAATTAACAGAACTGGAATTAAACAAAGAACCTGTTCTAATTGCAGTCCAAGACTCACAATACGTATTAAAAGGATTGTAACCAAAATTCCTAGCCACAGTGCTACAGCATTTGACAAACCTAGTGTTCACAGCAGAGTGTTCTCCTGCCCAGAGACCCCTGCAATGAACCGAACACGTCGCTAATAGTGCTTTATGAATGTGGACTTGCTTATGTTTTACAAATCTTTTCAAAAGATAAAAGGAGTCTTTTGGCCCATGATACAGCTAATCGGACAGAATGTGCCATGATACCTTCTGCAATGAAAGCTGAGAGGAGATATTTTATTCTCACCTATTAGCAAGATGGATAAAGGAAAAGAAATCTTTGCTTCCAAATCATACGAAACATCAAAAGACAGCCTAGAAAGCAATCTTCTAGGCAATCCTTTCATGCCTACCAGCAATTAGAGCATTCAACAAACCTGTCTGCTTCCAGCCGAAGAAAATGTTAGAGTAGGGGCACTTCCTCCGAACAATGCCGCCACGCAGCCAGCAGCAAAGCCCTCAGCCCAGTAAAAAGGTTTCTCTTTGTTCCTTTCTACGTGTTGCTCTCTGGAGAGCTGTTTTTCCCATTTGTATCACACCTACACAACTGACTCCCCAGGGATATTACCAAATATACATTCACTAGACTTTTCTTCCTTCTTGTACTTACAGCATGGACCTGCTTGGGGGTTTCGCCTTTTTTTTTTTTAAAAAAGACTCAAAATAATAACATATTGGGAACTAGAAATTATATCACCAGACTAACGAGAAAACATATTTCATAATCTTTTAATGTTAATGATAAAACTCAAGAATATTGAAAGAAACACAGGTCTGTAGTCTGGTAGATTCTTTCACACATGAATTAGGTCCTCAGTACCTAAGCACTTAAGATAATCCATCGTGTCATAAGGATTCTTCATAAAACCTTATTTACCTACATAAAGCTGGGATTTAATTTGCATTCTTTGCATCACAGCCCTACTACTCAAGGTTTCCTGTTTTGAACATCCGAAAATAGGCAACAAAGCAAATGGTACCTTTAGGGTAATGGCATTATTTAAGAGGTTTGTTGCTTCTATTGCTATTTTTGTTTAATATTTGTTACTGTTTATGTCTTAGGAACTTTTTGTGTTGCTACTATAACATTACCAAGGGCAGAATAAACTAGGATAAAAAATTAGATCAGCACTGATTTTAAGATTTGGTGAGTTATGAATGTCAGATCAAGTGGAAAGAAAATGACAGGGCTGTCGAACGCACCAATTGCACAACTGCTGCCCTGAAAATTATTTTCTATTCTG